AGTGTGTTATCACAGTCATGGAGTCACTATAACCAAGTAAACATGTCTCAACTTTTATCAATGCATTATACTTGAAATGTTCATGTTTTACTTGCGTTCTAAGACATGAGTTTGGTTCCAAATATTCTTTAAATAAATCTAACTCTTTCTCGATGTTTCCTAGATTTGATAAACTCATAATAACAGTTCTTGTAATATGAGAAACCAAGCGAGTGAAAGAGTTACTTACCTGAATAAGGTTCGCAGTGTGTTTGGTGCTTGGTATCATCACGATTAATGAAAGTGGTGTTGGATCCGGGGGTTCTTCTTGGATCAAGGCATTGTTGGTGACCAACTCCTCCTCACTAGAGGTATCTAAAAACTCTCCTGGTCGCCATTGATAGGTATGGAATGAATCCAATGAAGAAAGATCCATTTTAGGCTCCTCGTGAAACATGTGAAGTAAAATGACCAAAATCTCGTGAGGTGTAGGACTTGAACGTCCTAGATAATCTCCTGGTCTCCAAATGTGGCTTTGAGAATCATCATGGATGGATGGTAGTCCTATAGGCTTATCCTCCGAGAACATGTCCTCATAATCCTGCAAAAGAGACATTATCTCACTCGGCAGCACCGGTGTAGGGTTAGTCAAGCTCATGAGAGCTTTCTTATAATTAAGCAATAATAATTGGTGTTTTGATAACACAGCTTTCTTAACCTTACTAGCCCTCACAAACAAATTTGATTGCTTGCCTATGCATTCTTCTGTGTACTTTGGCCGAAATTGATCTTGACAATCTTCACGAAGATCTCTTGATTGATTCCACTGATGAGTGCTTATCTCTCGATCATTAGTCTTCTTGGTTGGCCTCAAAATTGTGCAATATGAACCAAGAGAAAGCAAATTAGCTTTCATTCGTTTTTGGGAGTTTAGATAGTTACCTCGGGTTTTAATTCGTGGTGTAGCATCTGGTGGTTTCTCCTTGATTACACTATTGTATTCAGCTTTAGATAATTGATTGTGGACCAGAACTGCTTCAGCTTGAGTTAATTCTCCAATTCCACTCATGGCTCCTTGTTTGGGTTTCTTGCAGATGGATTGAGGCTGCTGCAAATCCGGCGGCTTTTCTTTGATTGCCAATATGTTTAGTGCACCTTCAGCTTTCCTCACGTTGTCATGTATATGGAGTGGAACCTTGAATGTTCCTTTTCTTGATGTTACTTCTCCTAAGTGGTTAGCTCTTGTTCCCTTTTTAGCACTCATGGAATAGAACAAATGCATTATACTAGAAAAAGAGAATTCAAAAACACAATCCTTCAAGATTGGTTTGCAAAGCTCATTGAACGGATTTGATTCATGTAACTCATATAAAGTTTTAACCAATGCATTTTCGGTTTTAGTTCTAAACAGCTCTAATGCGTTGCTACACAAAGAAACTCTCAAAGAAGAGTTAAATTCACGAAACTCATCAAACATAAAACTTTTTGGCTTAAAGAGCTTTTCAAGTGTTGGTGTTTCAAAAGTTGAAATCAATTTGTCAAAAACAGATTTTGAAACACGAAATTCTTTCACTTTTTCCAAACCAAATCGTTTTTCATCTTGAGCAAAAATCAAAACAAACAAATTAGGCGTTTTGTTAACTAAATCAATTTCCTTACAGTGCTTTTGATGGCGCTCATTTGACTCAAGGGTTGGTTCAATAACAAAGATAGTTTGCTGCTCCAAATTAGTAACAATCGGTGGCAAACTCCTTTGAACTTCTTTCTGAGATTTTTCTTCAAGAACCTGTGAAAAACAAAATGTACTACTCGGTTGCACCGGTTTGGAAAGGATCAGTTTATCACAAGCTTGATCATTTTCAAGTACAAAATCAGGTTTCTCAAAAAGATCACACATATCTTTCACAAATTCAGAAGGAAGAGGAAGCTTAGCTTTTTCTGAATTAGAAGGAAGACCTCTCTTAGCTTTCTTGGGTTTGTTGTAAGCGTTGAGAATCTTCAGAAGTTCATCCTCGAACTGTTCTTTTGCTAAGACTAGACTTTCCTTTTGGCTTTTCTTCACGGCCTTAACTTCTTTCACATCATTATGTTGCGGTATAGCTTTCTCAACACGTCTTTGATCACCACGATTGTAGTAGTAACTATTTGCTTGATCTTTGGTGGATCTGCTTCTCCAATTAGGTTTCTCCTGGGGTCTCCTTGGTTTTGCCTCTTTTTGATATGTGACCTTCTCATGCTGCTCTTGGCTTCTCCTTGGAGATCTTAAATTCTGATGAAACTCTTGGCGAAAAGCTTCCAATTCGGTGTTCATCATTTTCTTCATAGCTTTAATCAAAAGTTTGTTGTTCCGATTGTGGCTATTCTCTTCCTCATCGGATTCAGCCATTCTTTCTGCAAGAGAAACAATAAAACAACACCAGTAACTAGTCCTTTTGAAACAAACACGAAATGACTCTTCAAATGCCACAAAATTCTCCTAGAACCCTAATCACGACAGTTTCACTTGTTCGGTGACTAAAAATTATCAAATCGCGCAGAAAAATTCCAGAAACAATTTTAACAAATACTAGACTCGATTTCGAACCCGTGAAAGTTGATTTCGCGATTTTAGCACATACCAATTATTTATGAAAACTAAAACAAGATGACAGACGGAATAAGAAGATGAACAGACAAGATAGAATACTCAACTTTCAGAGTGTGCTCTGATACCACTTGACACGATCCTCCCGAGGACTCGGCACTCTAAAGTTGAGCAAGAGATAAAGGTGGCTGTGAAGCCGTGATGATGGATAGATGATCTCGAGTTAGAGACGACACACGACTCAAAGACGAGAGAATGGATGGATGGATATCACAGAAGCTTGCGGAAGAGCTTCACGATACCGAAACTTAGATCCTTTGGATATGCGCACCAAAAGATACTAAGGGTTTTGCTGGATATACACACCAACAAGATGATCTTCTTAGAAAAGGTTTTTGATAAAAAGAAAGATAAATTCTCATAAGAGATTACAAGAGAATATATAGAGAAGGAGAAGAGAAGAAAATGTAGAAAACAAGACAAGTCTTGGAACATGCTCCAAGGCTGCCTAGAAAACACGAGAGAAATTAAAATAGAGTTTGAATTTGAAAAATAACCCTTCAACTTCAAAGGCCACGAAATTGTCTCATTATTTAGTGGGTTTGGGTCTTGAATCATCAAAATGGATTATATGAAGTGAAAACATAAGCCTCATTAGAAAACCTCCCTTTGGAAAACCCAGTGGGACAAAACCAAAGGTAGGGAAAAAGAGCACTCATGAATCACTTATCCACTTTGATGAGGTCCTTGAGCATGGATCAAAACCAAAGAGGTAGTGACTTGGCTCAAGTCATTTGGTCGGTCCCAAATGTGGTTAAGCATCCCTCCAATGGCTTGGTTGAATAGCTTAACTCTAGAACGAGTCATTGGACCAGTTGGTGCGATCAAAGCTTCCTTGGCTACAAGCTCCTCCTCAGCTACAAGCTTAGCTCCTTTAGCTCCTTCCTCGGCTACAAGCTCACGTTCAAGCTCCGGTTCATGCTCCACATCCTTAGTGTTGTCCATGATCATATCACTTCTACAACCTATTAAGGGCAGTCTTAAACAGGAAGCTTGTCGAACCACATTGGTTGTGACTTAAGCCGGTTAAGCGACAACAATGGAGGTGTGTGGCTTGCACTCTTTTTCTCTCCTCTTGGTTTTGTCCCATTAGGTTTTCCAAGAGAGGTTTTAAACGAGGCAAGCTCACACACTATTAACTACAGCCCATTGTTGTCTCAAGGCCCATTACCAAAGGAGAAGCCCATTTCGTTTTTAATTCAGTCTTTGTGTGTTTAATTTTGTTTTCTTTCCCTAGGATAAGTCTTCATCTCCCTAGACCTCTTCTACTTCTTTATAATCTCTTCTTCTCCTTTGTAAACGATTATCAATTTTTTTCTTATCAAAATCTCTTTCTGATTCTGTTTGATCACGAGAGTGGTGTGTCATATCCTTTCTCAACTTGTGAATGCTCTTGGTGTGTCATATCCAAGCAGGAACAAGCCCAGAAGTTCAAAGGAATCTCGCAGCTTTTGGAAGTTCTACTCGATCCCTTATCTACTCACTTGCTCGATCACATCATACCATCACCACCAGTCACCTACTCGATCGTTTCTTCACCAAATGTTCATCATTCATCATCATTCATCTTATTCGATCAACACTCATCATCTCTTCACCTAATCGACCCCATTTTCATCTACTACTCGATCACATTCACTCACTCACTCGATCTCACTTTCACCAAATCCACTCGATCACACCCACACCATCCCATACTCGATCGCATTTGTTCACCGATTCACCATTCTACTCGATCTCCTCATCATACTCGACCATACATCACTTCTACTCGATCCACCACCAGTTTACTTGTTCTCATACCCCTCATCACCACCAAATATACTCGATCACATCGTCATCAAACAGTCCATCCGCAAACTGTTTCATGTTAGTCATACACTACAAGAAAACATGCCTTTTGCGACCCCCAATCGAGTCCTTAAACGGTCGCTAATTGCTGTTTTGCGACTTCTTTGCGACTGCACACGTTGGTCGCTAAAAAACGGTCGCTAATTACAATGGTCGCACTGTCGTCGCAAATTTGTGACGCTGTTAAGACTGCTTGTGATGGTCGCAGATTAGCGACGCGGTAGAGACGGACTGTATAGGTCGTAAATTTACGACGTATTAGCTACACCTATTTGTTAGCGACTAATTAGTGACTAACATATCAGTCGTATTATTGAGACTAATTTGGGTTTTGAGATGGATTTAACACTATTCTGTAGTCACAAATAAGCAACATTTCCGCGACGATTACAGTTTTTTAGTAGACATTTTAGTCCCTAATCTACTACCATAAATTGCTTCAAAAAAAAAATAGAAATCGAAAACCAAAAAACAAATCTGCGATCATTTAAATTTGTTTCAAAGCCCTAATGTTGGTAACATAGCCTTACATATATAACCTTAAACATTCAAAAGGATCCTCAATGTTCATAACAGAATGAAAAAAAGATGAAGAAACTGTTGGTGTGGCTGCGACAGTTCCTTGTGGTGCAGTGGCTGGATTGGTTTCTCCTATGGTTTCTTCTACGTTGTTTTGTGCAGTGGTTGTGGCTGTTGCATTGGCAGTGGCTGTTGCATTGGCGGTTGCATTGGCGGTGCCTAGGATATAGTAGCCACTGTAGAGGGAACACTGGTTTTAACAAGGTTCATAATCATGTGATCACATAAGCTTAATTACATTTGGTTATACTCAGTTGGAAGCAAAAGAGGAAAAACTAGTGTTTACCTTGAGGCGTGATTCTTCAAGTTGCTTGTTCCTGAAATCGCATAACCTTTATTAGGACAATGGAAAGAAAGGAATGAGGGAAGTGTGATATTACTAATTTACCTTTCTCTCTCTCATAGTTATCCAATCTAATAGAAGTGATAGAAACAAGAAAACCAAACTCGCCACCCCAACAAAACCTTGCAGCTCCCATACCAGTTATGCCTTTGTTCTTAAAGGCCTCCACTATTATTGGCTTTGACTCCTTAAAACACGTAATAAAATATAACAATCCACATGAAACCAGAACTTCTAAATTACCTGAGTCACCAACAACCAATACTCGAACTTGGCAACATAATGAAGCTAAGATCTGCTCCTTATTTTTCCTTCCACGTTCTCTTCAAATTCAAAACTTCATTATTGCTTAAGAAACATCAACATATTAGGTAACGAATAAGAAAACCAACACTGTTTTCAATCAACTTCCATACTCCCAATTAGAATCCAAAACGAGAAGAAACAGCTTCCATAAACACTCATAGCAACCTCTGATTCCTCATAATGAAAGAATTTTACGATCTCACTAAGACTAATCAAAAATTCTGGAATCTTATTCTTCACCTTCTATGGAATCAATACCTACGGTTTCTCAAATCAATTGAAAGAAGCAGCAGATCTACGGCTAAAACCTAGGATTTCAGATCAATTACCAACAGAATCAAACTTCTTTAGAAATGATTCTTCTCAACAAGACCAAACCTTTCTTTATAGTTTGAAAACGCCCAACACTTCTTTAGAAAGAGCTTCAGACTAAGATGAGAGACTCCACTCACTGTTCAAATCCGAGAACACATAGCTTGAAATCTAAATCACGCGAGCTCACCACACAAAGGTGTCATTCGACGAGGAGAAGCGGCGACGAGGAGAAGCGGCGACGACATCGACGGCTAGGGTTTTGAGATGAGAGGAGAAGGTATTAAAGCGAAGAGAGGACAGAGAGAGAAGGTATTAAAGCAAAGAGAGGAATCGAAGAAGAAACAAAGAGGAAGAGAAAATCGAAGAAGAAACGAAGAAGAAGAGGAATCAAAGATCTACTACCAAATTAATGAAGAAACGAAGAGGAATTGAAGAGAAGAATCGAGGAGGAAAACGAATCAAAAAGAGGAATTGAAGAGAGAAATCGAAGAAGAAACGAAGAGAGGAATCGAAGACTAAAGACTAAAGTGTTTCAGATTCGAGAAATGTGACTTTTCGTTGGTAGTAATAAAAGAATAGGAGTCTCAAACTCGTTCCAACTTGGTCGCAACCAAAAAAACACGAGGGATAATAGCCCGCCTAATCGAAAACCCTAAATTTTGGTAAAAGTCGGAAAACGGTCCCAAATCGGTCGCAAACGGGTTGTACAAGTTGTCGCAAAAGTCGTCGCAAGTTAGTCACAAACAAGAACAAGAACAAATATTGTGGCAGAACGGTCGCAAAATACGTAACAAAGTTGTCACTAAAGAGTAGCACATTAGTTGTAAAATTAGACAGTGGCAAAGTAATCGCAAAGAGATACGCTTTTGCGACGTTCGTGTATGAGTCACAAATCAACATTTAAGATTTTTGAACTTTAAGATCTAAATACATTGATATAAGGATTATGTAACACTCCATAGTCCATTTGTGAAGTAAATCATTCATTTTAAGAGGCAAAACAATGATTTGGTAAGTTTATTTTCAAACATACTTAGATTAAGATTAAAACTATATGTAACATCTTCCACATGATAGGTTTTTACAAAGATTAAGTTGTAAACATGTAAAATTAAAACATTAACAAGTAATCTTTCAATGTATTAGTTCAAATCAATGCAAAATATAGTTACTTAACATATTAAACATTCTATTTTATACAATTTCAATTTTAAAACAGAACGAGTCTCTAAAGAGTACCAGAACGGTCGCAAAATACGTAACAAAGTCGTCACAAACGAGTAGCACATTAGTTGTAACATTAGACAGTGGCAAAGTAATCGCAAAGAGATACGCTTTTGCGACGTTCGCGTATGAGTCACAAATCAATATTTATGATTTGTGAACTTTAAGATTTAAATACATTGGTATAAGGATTATGTTACACTCCATAGTCCATTTGTGAAGTATATCATTCATTTTAAGAGACAAAACAATGATTTGGTAAGTTTATTTTCAAACTTACTTAGATTAAGATTAAAACTATATGAAACATCTTCCACAAGATAGGTTTTTACAAAGATTTAGTTATAAACATGTTAAAATTCAAACATTAACAACTAATCTTTCAATGTATTAGTTAAAATCAATGCAAAATATGGTTACTTAACATATTAAACATTCGATTTGATCTAGTAACAATTTTTAAATCAGGACGAGTCTCCAAAGAGAGGCAAATTAGTTGTAAATTTACGACTCTTTTGTGACGATTAAGAAGTTTCACGAAACTTTTTTTTGGATTTCGACAGGGTTGCATAAGTATCGTAAAAGGGTCGCTTATTTATGACCATTCTCTGACTAATCGTTGGCGTCGTAAATTGGCGACAAATATGCGTCTACTTTTAACGTAGTCGTTAAAGAGTCACTATCTGGTAACAATATCGTCGCAAATATTTGCGACCAACAAAAGAGTCACAAAAAGTAGTCGCAAAAGGCTTGTTTTCCTGTAGTGATACTCATCATGCAATCAACCACACGAAATGCATCAAGGGACTAAGATCTTACTAAGATTATATTCGTTTATATTATAATATTGTATTATATATATATATATTACTAAGATTATATATATATTAAAAAAACTTTTTTAGGAACCATTACTATTAGTATATCAGGTTCGTGTACTAAATTTATGTTCAATCATAATTGTGCTAAAGTATCGTTAATGTAGAGTTTTTCACCGATCATTAAGTAACCCAAAGTTAATCTCTAATATCAAAGATTATTCTCTTGGTTTTATGGAATTTTCAATAAGAACTTTTGGTTTCTGTGTTTTCTTACTTATCGTTGCATTGATTTTTTAATATAATGATGGATGTTGATTAAGTAAATTGTTTCTGTTATTCCAATGTTATCTACAAAATCTCTCAAAGAATCTAATAATTTAAACAATATAACATGTGAGTATTTTTATTTTAATATTAATATTCAACTTGGTAGATTTAACCAAAATGTTGATATTTTGCCGAAGAACCGAGAAAAGTCTTTATCCCGCGCATGGTGCAGGTCAACACCTAGTACCCAAAAACTGTTCACTCGCACCTACAAAAAATGATTAAATGGAGTTTTTTGGGATTTTTTTTTTTTTTTGAATAGAATGTAAAATTTATTCGGAAAAAAAATGTTTTACATCGAGTGCAGCGTTTATGTTGAAAAGGTTATAATACAATGCTTATATAAAACAAAGCCAAAAGAGATGAGATCGATCTTATCGTGATGCAAACCAGAGTGCCATACACCCATCATACCGATGATCACTTTGCTCGCGAATGGAGGATAATCTGTTACGGATTTGTTTTTCTAGCCCTCTGACCAGATGTGTTGATGCTGTTGGGATTTCGCCATGACGTCTACTATTCCGTTCTTTCCAAAGTGAGTGAACCGTGAGTTGAAATGCATACCTTGTCAAGAAGAGACATTCCGTTCCCAAGGATTTATCTGTGAGTAGCTTGAGAACAGTATCCCAGCTTGTTGAAAATTTCCGAGAAAGAAGCTTACGAACCAGTCCCGACCACACCTCTTTCGAGTATCGACATGTAAAAAACAAATGGCTGCAGGTCTCTAAGGGCTCCCGACAGAATACGCAAAATGAGTCTACTCCTACCCTCCAATTTAGCATTCTATCACCTGTTTTTTGGGATTTCCCCTGTTTTATTTCCTCGTCACGTTTGTTCTTTTGATAAAAGGAGGACTCGCTTACAATGAAAAAAAAGGACCATTTACATCACAATATACTTGTTCAAATGGAGTTCTTTCTGGAAGAAAAGCTCCAATAGATGACACAGACAAAGAGAATTAGGTGTTTGAATTGAAACTGAAGTCAATTATGTGACTTTTTCTTTGACAAAAACATAAAAAAACGGGGGAAAGAAAGCTTCATCTTTTTCTTTCGAGACTTGGTCTGTGGAGACAGATTGGTTTCAGAGTTATCTTCTGTTCCATATGACTCACTTGGGCTGGAGGTATAAACAGCAGCCTCAGGTGATTGCTCCATCTTTCCTCCTTCAAAGCTTTCTTTTTGGGTTTTCTCAGTGTTGACTCCATCACCAGCCTTTCTCTTTTGTTCATGATCTGCCCTCCATTTCCTCAGCTCCTGTTCCACCCCCAACTTCCCTTCTTTCGCCTTCTCAGCCTTTTCAGTTGCTTCTTTTAATGCCTTCTTTCTCGCATCCATGTCTCTGTTTACTTCTTCCAACTTCTCCAAGCTTCTCATTTCTGTTTCTTTAGCTTCCTCGATCCTTGAAACCGCCGCTGCTACTCTGGCGTTCGCCAGTTCTTCTGCCTCGTGGGCACGTTTGCTGAGCTCATAGTACTCTTCTAGTGAAAGTGTAACGCTTCGTGGAGATTCGGTGTCATTAGCTTTCAATGTTGATTCACTCTCCTCCAAAGCCTTGATGGCAGCTAAGGCCAGCCTCTCTGAAGCTTTAGCTGCTTCGATTTCCTTCTGCGCAGCAAATAGCCTGCTCTCCATTGTACTGGCTCCAGCCTTTGCTTGCTCTGCTTCTTCTTTCGCCTTTCGAAGCTCTTCACGAGCAACTTCAGCAAGCGACTTTGCTTCATCAGCCTCTTCTGCTGCTTGCTGAAGTTGCTTGGGTAGCTCCACCATTTTCTCTCTCGCGTCTTTCTCCTTTGACTGAACCGAAGCTATTTCTGACCTCGTTCTGTCAATTTCAGCCTCTATAGAAGCAACTGCTATAGAGGCCATTCCTTCTCTTTGTTTGATTGAGGCAAGAGTAGACTTTTCTTTCTCGAGTTCCAGTTGCAAGGAAGAGGAGGCTAGTTTCAAAGAATTCACTTCAGCAGCTGCTTTCTCGATATTGACATTGACCTCTTCAAGTTCCTTCTTTGCAGAGGCAACAGCTGCATGTAAATCTGGATGGCTCATGTTTTCTGTCGAAGGATCACTGTTTGTGTTTGAGTCACACGCTTCCTGTTTTAGCTTGGATTCCATATAAGCTACCAATTCCGCCTTCAAATCAAGAAGCAGTGCTGAGGCAGTGTCAAGCTTCGATTTTAGATCTTTCGAAGAATGTATCTGTTGGTTCAGTTTTTGGAGTTCCTCTTCCGCTTGCTTCAGTTCCTTCTCCCAGCGGTGAGTATCCTGGTCTCTGGCCATGGCTGCTCCAATCCTCTGTTCTTCCGCCTCTAAATGAGAAGCATGTGCTGATTCCAGTGACTCCTTTGTAGCTATCAGCTCTATGGTAAGTTCTTCAACTGTCTTCTCAACTTCTTTTGATGCCAAGGTTGCTTCCTCGACTTTCTTTACGGCCACATCTTTTTCTTGCAGCAGCGCATCATATTCCTTATGCAGAGTTTCTAGCTCCTCCTTGACAGAACACAACTCTATAATTGCTGTTGTATGCCTCGCCTTGGCCACCTCAAGTTGCGCTTTAGCTGCAACACTGACATCTTCAGCTATTCCTTGCTCCATCTCTTCAACCCTTAGCTTAGCAAGCTCCGAATCCTGCTTCGCCTGTTGTTCTTCTGTTTGCGCCTTCTCCAAATTAAGCTTCAACTGTTCTATGAGTCTCTTTGTGCTTTCTAGCTCCTTAAGCACTTGCAGTTTTGCAGCCTCAGCGGTTTCCGAATGTGTTTTGTACTCAGGAATCTCCTCATGGATCTTTTTAAGCTCTTCTTCTATAAGCTTGCGTCTCTGCCATAACGTACACGAAAAAATGAACAAGAAAGACAACAAAAACGAGAAATAATACCAATGTATCCGTTAGTAGTATACCTCTACCGCTTGCATTCGGTGAGATTTCCAGTCTGTAATTCCTCCAAATTTTGAGACAGCTTCTTTAACCGATTCAAATGGCGCTGCAGTGTCGATTAAACCTCGATGTGAGTCCACATTTTTCGGTGTTCCGGTGCTCACCGGTGATCCTGAAAATCTAGGAGACAAGTGTGGTCTAGGAGATGATACCGTTCTAGGTGAACCACCATTTCTTGCTGTACCCACCGCAGCCTCGGTAATCCTCACACGAGGTAAACCAGTCTCACCTTGCTCCATCACTTCTTCTACGATTGTTGTACTCGTACTATCTTGTCCAGTGAACCCCGCAACAGTTGCAGCAACAGGAGCAGTAACTGATTTTTCAGAATTAGAGAAACTGGATGGCGAAAACGTGTCATCGACATAAATTTTCGTATTGCCGGTAGTGTCATCAGTTTGAGATTGTTGAGTCTCTTCAGTATCAGTTTGAGATTGTGGAATATTATCAACCTTTGTTACATTTTGTGTGTAAGATTCTCGAATGGCCGATTCGATCAACTCAGGATTTACTGTTTCAACGTTGTCACTAACAACATCAGATGCTTCAACAGTTTTTAAGTCCTCCATTCGCCTGTTACCTGAAATTACTACAAAAACAAAAATATTGAAATTGTAGACAATTGAGAAAAATTGAATATAAAACATCATTGTTGATCAAATTCTAGTTTCAGTGAAACATACTCAAATCAAATAAATATGGAATTCAAGAATCAAACATATTATAATCTTTGTTGATCATCGGCTTTTCATCTTTTATGTAAACAAATCAGAAACGTGAGTTAATAATCAATTCCAGGATTTAAGATAAATACGAACAATGATTTTTTTCTAGAAATTCAAATAATAAACAAGAATTCTGAATTTATCAGCTGGAGAAAAAAATTATAAATATGAAAAAGACAAAGTTGGATTAAGCCGACAAAAAGCTGTATCAAGAAGAATCAAGAAAGAGCCGAGAAGTCTTCTTACCGGAGGATGATGATCGGAGGTAGTAGAAGAAGTTAATTTATTATTTCAGACAGAAATTAGAAAGAGATAATTGCGGTCGCGGAGACAAATCATGAAGCTAGCTCTCATCCTCATCTTCTTTATCCATCTGTCATTCTCTCTCTCTTTTCATTATTTTCGGTTTGTTTGGGTTCTTTTTTATTTTTATTTTACTTATTTTGTTATTTAGATTAGTTTTTTATAAAGAAAATTAGGTGCTTCCTTTATGGCCTCTCGGTGTCCATTGGTCCAGGTCCACTCCACGTATAAAAGTTGTTAAACCAAACTGCTTGACCCATACAACAACAAAAACTGAATTCGTTTTATTTTTAGATGAACAAGGCTGGCAAAGTGGAGAGGGTCGTATCAAGTTTTGAGTTACATTACCCGACCCGGATTTGATAGAAAACAAGTTTGTATAGAAAACAAGTTTGTATCAAATTTTATAATTCGTTTAAATTTCATTTTTTTTTAATTAAAAGAATTTTAAACAAATATTCAGACTAACAACATTAAACCCAAAAGAATATGTGTCTTTTTACATCAATGGCCAAACCCGCTAAATGAAAGAATTGACTTGGAAATACATGTGGAGAATCAATTTTTGGTCATCTCAAACAACAGTAGCCTATCACAACTTAGTTGAGTTTTTTTAATTACAACAGATGATGTTACTAATTATATAATTTTAAGTAATTTTATTTTTTCGTCAAACATACCATATTTAGATTAATATTTAACAAAGTACATTTTTCTCACATTTTATCAGTGATATTAACCAAGGTGGGGCTAAAAAACCAAAGAACACATCAAAAGAGGAAGCAAATTTTGCAATTGCATTTGCATATTTGTTTCTTTCTCTTCCTCTAAATTTAGAGGATCAGTTTTAAGTGTGTTGTTGGTCCCAATATTGGATTTGTGAAGTTCTTTAAACTTTCAAAATATTGGTTTTTTCACTGCCATCAACAATGTTAAGTAACTTTATAAACACTTAAACGATGATAAATGATTGCATTTCCGATGAAGGCCGGTCTTGGACACACACTACAAGAAATATCTACATTATTAACACGAGAGAAGAGCTATAATATGTCATTGATAGTGTTTTCATAAATGCTATTTTAGGCCCCTGTTATGGTAGACCCCCACATACGATAACGTTTTTTTGGCATGTTATTAAATGTCTATATATTTAAGCGCTAATCGAATGCTATAATATATTTTACTGTAACACACGTTTAGTGTTGTTTTATAAAATGTTGTAACATTATTGTTCCGCTATATAAATTTAATTTGATTTTTATTTAATTTGCATTTTTGAACCCTGTTTTGCAATATTTATTTTATTGGATTTATATATAATTTCTTTTTATTACATAAATTATCAAAAATATTCATTACACAAAACATATATAACAAGTCTTATACAAAAAAATCTAACTATTACTCTTACACAACAAAGTACTAATTTATGAGATAAACTACAAAGAGAAACAAATCGCTATGAAACTAACAAAGAAACAAGATAATAAAGCAACTCAATTCCTCAGTCATAGACGTCCACTTTCCACCACCGATCTTTGCAACCTACAATCATATATAAATACACAGTTTGGTAAATCTCATAAACACTTTACATAGGAGTCAAGCATAGCAATCAGCTAAGTTAAAGTCTTACATCCTTAATGAGAGAACTTAGATGCTCTCGTCAAAAAGAATGACAGAATATATTCCTGCAAAGTGAAAGGCAACATCAGCATAATCCCCAAAGACTAAACAACTAACTATCAACAAAAGTAAGTGTGAAATGATGAACATTACACGAAGATAAAGAAGCCCGTAAGAGGTCGTTTGGGCATGTTTAAGGTAGAAGAGCTCTTCTTCGTATCCTTGGCTATTCTAAGTCTTTTTGGCTTAGGTTCATCAGACTTCGTCACCTTCCTGAAAAACAAAAACAATATCACATATAGAAACAATACATTCAAGTCAAAGGTAAGGCAAAACGAGTTTTACTTCTCTGAATGTTTCTTCTTAGCCTCAGTCACATGTCTCCACAACTTGAACTTCTAGACAACAACAACAACAACCAGATCCACAGAAATTATGAGAACACTGAAAACACAAAATACACTAAGGAGGTTAAAAAAAAAGAGATGAATACTAGATATAGGAAGCTCTAGCTCTAAAAAGAAGCTCTTCTCTTTTGGCTTCTGGATATTGAAAGAACTAGACAAAAAGAAAACCGCAAACAAATAGAAAAAACTGTGGCCAAAACACACGTATGAATCAATGACCAAAGGAGACATGCACATAGTGACAAAAACTTTCTGAAATTAGTAGAAGTTACTGACTAAACATAAACATCATCAACGGATCATCCCTGCTAAATCAAGACATCCATATTTTTTTAATAGAAAACGTTAGCATCACAAGTTCACAACCATAAGCCATTAAACAAAGTATTGATGGTGGGTACCGTTATGTATAATGTTAAAACCTACACATGTGAAGACCTGCATCTTGTGAAAACCTGCATCTTGTGAAAACCTGCATCATGTTTTGTAATTGAAAATATGCATCATATCTAAACCTCTCACGATCATTAAAGAGCTGGAACCAAACATGTATTGATCCAAAAGGAGCGAACTAAACCTGTTAACATAGTGCTTTGACAGAAAATAATCTATTGACTGAATGAATCAAACCTGAAATTCAAAATCCGACAAGCAAGCTAAAAGATACAACAAAGTATATGACTCATATTATGAAAGTTTCAACTTTGAATTATTCAAACAGTGAGGCACAAAATCTAGCTCGAAACTCATGAGAAAACAAAGTAAGTAAATAGCATGAAATTGAACAAAACAGACAATTCATGCTCATAAAATGGCAATCAAGAACAAATCTAGCTCAAAATTACTCTAGAGGAAAGAGACGAAACTATCACATTCAAGAAACCAAACCTAGAAAATTTGAGTAAAAATCGACAAAATCTGAAACACCACTCAAATAAGGTTCCAGAGAAACGCTTACATAATTCTTTACGAGAGCGATATCATCTTCATCAAATGGGCGAGGATTCTTCTCGGCTCTAATCTCATCTTCACTAGATTTATGAATCTCACGAACAGCGATGGTTCCAGGACGGTAACGATGTGGCTTCTTGACTCCTCCGTTACCACCTGCATTACCAATTTCGTTAGAGACGAAATGATAAACTCAAAATTCAATCAAAATCAGAAAAACCCTAGATCCCCTTTCAAAATTAGTGGAGGCTTGGGCTTTGATGGAGGGGAATTTCGCGTATAGGAGAAATTTTTTGATGAATTAGATGGGATTAGGATGGAAAAGAACAAAGACCGGTGAAGAAAGTGGAATCGAAGGTTGAGGCTATGGAGATTTGTTGATAGACCCATCGTTACCGATAGAGTGATGGAAATGGTAGCGATAGAGTGAGAACAGTGAGATCGAAAGGATGAGAGAGGGAGACCACTAAGTCTGTGAGAATCGATTTTTTTTTAGGTCTAAGGGCATCATGGGGATCATGTGACGGTGTTCTTATAGAGAATATAATGTTAAAATAATGTAAGATCATGTGTTTAGATCTTTTGTTTAGAAGTTGATTAGTGGGAGAACATGTGTAAGATCTTAAGACTTAATAATATAATAATCTAAATTAAATTAAGATTTTACAATTATTAAAACATTTAAAAATAACATATAAATTGCAAATGCCAAATTTATGAAAAACTGAAAATAAAAGTGAAAATACAATACTAAATATTTATGAAAAAAACATTAAAAATATAAATAACAATAAACAAACAAACATATTACTTAATAAAAGCACAAAAACATTTTATCTAATTAATACATAGTTTATTATCCAAATTTATTCCAAATATGTTGAATATTCCAACCAATGCCCAAATGCCACGTCACCCCGCAACACCCACAAGAACAGATCCAAGTCAAGAGCCCAGTTCCTGATCTTAAGCCCATTGACCCATTTTTTTGGATTTAAATAATGCTTAGATCAGGGGGGGTGATCCCCCAATGCAGATGGTCTAAGTCCGTGAGAAGTTCTCAATACGTTTTGGGTAAAAGAAGGAAATGTTTGTGAAAAGTTTTGCTAAGTGTTGGCGGAATAGGTCATTTTTGTTTCCCGTTTAAGGATTTTTGGTTTTAGCATTTATCAGGTGCTATTAAAAAGTAACCAAAATCACGAACTCATCTATTATAGCAGGTCAGGAAAATGCGTTATCGTCTACTGCTATCAATGTGGACTTTTTTTGTAGTGACAGTCTAGTGAAACTTTTGTTGTGGCCCCAAAATTTAACATGCCTATTTATAAATAACTTTTTTTATATATATAGTCTATATAGGGAGTGAAAGAAACGTAAGCCCAAAACATTACAAAGTATCTAATATTCTTTCATGTGGGCCTGCCTAATTAAGAAAAAAACTCTATTTTTTATTATATCCTCCTACTGCACGACTCTTAAGTCTTAACTTTGAAGATTTCTATGCTCTTACATCGACATACACAAACACAAACCCTCTCTTCGCTTTCTAATCTCAACTTATCTTAGGGCCGACCCCGTTAATTTGGTTTTGTTTCTAGCCCAAATTATCTCATGGTCGGCCAGGTTCCCAAATATATTTTGAATCATACTCATCACAAACTTAACTAATGGATGTGTTTCATTTTAATACTTCTTCACTGAAATATCTTACATAATTTACATTGTAGGACATTATGTCGATGAAAAATGTCCTAGAGCACTATAAATATATGTAACAATCTTTCTGTGTGATTACATATGTATTTTGATGATTGAGTTGTTTATTCCAAGGGGTAATATCCAAACCGAACCAAACCGAATTGGATGGTTTGGTTCGATTTAGGATGGTGCAAAATAACCGAACGAATATTGTCATTTGGAACCAATCAAATTGGATGGTTTGGTTCGAGTATTACTCAAAAAACCAATTAGGTAACCGTACTATCCGAAATTGAAACTCACATTTTAGTTTTTCAGTTAGTTTTTCGATTAGTTCGGAAATTTTATATTTGTTCGATTACTTCTGGTTAGTTCAATTAGTTTTTCTGTTAGTTTGAATATCTCGGTTAGTTTTTGGTAATTAAGATATTTTTCTGTTTTTTTTCTGTAATTTATAACTAACAAAAAATTTGGTTCGAAAAAGTTATTTAATTTATTATCCAAACCGACCCGAACAAATAGCTATCCGAACTGAAACCAATCCAATTTCCTTTCGTTCTAATATGGTTCCTGAATTGATAGGGAGGCGGAAGCAAAGAGAGGAGAAGAGGATGATCTGTTTTAAGGATGCCAAAACAGAGGAGTAAGAAACGTGAAGAAGAAGATGAAAAGGAGAAGAGAGAGATGAAAAGGGTTGTTGTGATCGGTTCTAAGAACGATTACAACAAGTGGATGCAAGTCCTCCTTGCAGGACCTTAAGAATAAGGCTCTTAAAAACGTACTCTGTGAGAATTCAATATCAAAAGTGTCCTTTACAATGAGCTGCGATTCCTCTTTATAGAGGTGAAGTAGATAAAGCCAAATAAACTAAAGCCTAATCCTAACAAAAGAGATCCTAGATAACGATGAGAACAAATCTAAAAGATAACAAAACAGTTGAAGTCGGTTTAATGAAACCGACAACGTGATGGGCTCGAGCGAGGCCCAACATATGTGAAGATGCGCTGCATCATGAATCTCTATATCCAAACTAACGGTACGGACATAAATGGAACTGAGCTGGTTAAATCGGTTTATGGTTTATTTTTGTTATTGAAATGAATGCTGAAATTAACCGAATAAATAATCTATTCGGGTCGGGTCTCGGTTTATTTTGGTTAATCAAATTTTATCAAAATAAACCAAAATTTTTAGATTTGCTCGGTTAAAATTGGTTAATTTGGTTCGTTTCAATTAAAATCGGTTTATTGAGTAATTTGGTTTGATATATCAATTAATGGGTTGTCAAAAAAAAAAAAAAAAAAAAAAAGTTGGGCCAAGCCTAGTAAAAACATTGGCTTTCAGTGAAACGTTAGAAGCTCGACAGCGGCTGATACAAATAGCAGATCCGACGAAAGAAAAGGAAAAAGAAGAAGACCTCGGTTAACCGTTCGGTTCTCCTCAAATGAACCAAAAATTTCAGGTAACCTCACACGATTTACAAAGGTTATGATCGGTTCAGCTAGCTTTCCTTATTGAAGCCAAACCGAAAACCAAAAATCTCGGTGCAGAATTCTCGGTTGGGATATTTGTCGCCTGCCTAATCCAAACTACCTGAAACTCAAACTATCCAACCTAAATAGAACCACATTTCAGTAGATCCGTAGTCAACGGCCCAATTGCTACCTTAATCAACGGCCCAAAACTAGCTTTTGTAAATTATCATATACACCCAGTTTAACGAGATAGTAGTAAAGATCAAATACCCAATGGATACATACCACATAGTCATCATTTTTATTCTCAATGGCTCAAAGCCTTCAATACCCTCTTTCTTGATTAAGATGAATTTCTCTTTAATCATATTATAAATAAATAAATTAATAAGCATTTAATTTCAAAAAGTAAAAATTATAATAATAATTCAGCTAATCGGATCATTGTGATAAGATGATGACGGCAAATTAAGGTGTCTGTTCTGATACAGATTCACTCAGTTACTAATCATATTGGAGAGATTGATGATATGCCGTATCAAACTTATTCATTGATTTTGGGTTCCACTTGGTCTGAATAATATAATATATAACAGTTTGCAAATTTTAAAACATACAAATTAGGGAAAAATGTCATTTAACACATCACTTTACCATTTTTGTTAGTTTAAATCATAAATTCTCGACCTGGTGATTTAAATTCTTAATTTTATATTAATTTTCATTTTAATCATGAATTCTTATTAACAAAGCTAATTGAGGCATATCGCTATCTGGCTAAACGGATCAATAAGACAAAGTCATCGCATAACTGGCACATCGAAGCCATCACATAATTTTTCTTATGCACCAACATGGTTTCCATCTTTCTCTTCGTTCGATTGCTCCGTTTAGCCAGTTAACAATGTGTCTCAATTGGCTTAGTCAACGAGAATTCGTGATTAAATTGAAAGTCAACATAAAATTTAGGATTTAAATCATCAGATCTACATAAAATAAGGATTTAAATCACTAGCTCCAAAGTTCATGCTTTAAACCAACGAAAATGACAAACTGATGATATAAATGACATATATATGAAATGCGAGATCTATTTAAACATACAAACTTTTAATAATATATAAGCATTAAATATAACATACACTGATTGAGGAAAAAACATTAGATTAAATAAAGGAAAATTTGGATCTATAACCAAAACAAAATTTAATAATTAAAGAACTAACCTAAAAAAAAAACTGTTTTGATATTCTCTGTATATTATATATTAAGACTATTCTACCCCTCTATTCATTGTACACCTTTCACCTCTCACCTCTTTGTCTACATCAACTTAACTAACACAGATCTAGAAAAGATGAACAACAAAATAATCCTTTTTTTAATTAGATAGGCTGAGAAAACCGAAGAAGCAACTCCAATCACATTCACCAATCGCTTCTCCGATCATGTTTTGACCCGACCAACTTCATTTCTCTCCTATCTTGCGCATACACAAAGTAAGGATAGAGTGGACATTTCCCAGCCCACATTCGTTAGTTTCTTAATTTCTAGATTCATAGTGTTATTTTATTAATTCAATTTTGGAAATCGGTTAGTTTTGCAATTCACCCTTAAATAAAATGTAGCTAAAAAAAAAAAAATGTAACTGTTTCTTTGCATATGATTTTTAATAGTCAAACCTAAAAAGTCAAAATAATTACAGCTACAACTCCAGTTGGAAACTTGACATCTACCTAATTATCGCCGCTCATCAACCTCACCGTCTTGACCAAGATCTGACCGACGCGTGGCGGCTCCTTTAGTGCCGGCGTCGGTCTCCCCTCCTTTTCCTTTCCTTGTATGTGCTTTGGTCGGCTGTGGAAGAGTGGTGTTTCGACGAGAAATTTTTGATGTCTTCTTGGTTTTAGATCTGCAAAATTTTGGTGGGGGAGCACTTAATTGATGGATCTGAAGGTTATCGGAGAGGTGTGTTGCTTCTCTGAGTGGTGTCTTGGCGCTTATATGTTGGATCTATCGGTTCCTTTGCTTTTGTGGTTGTTGATGGACATCCTCGACGGTACGGTTCTTCCCCTCCCAGATCGGATTTGAACTTAGGTGGCTCAGTCTCGTTGTCTCATTGGTCTTCTCGTAGATTTTGTGTTTGTTTGTGAGACTTGTATCGATGGTGGTGACTCTGTTTGTGGATTTACTCTTTAGATCTTTGCTCTACCTCTCTATTGCGTTCTTTTACTTGTTCGTGGTTGCAGTTTGGTCTGGTTTCGTTCTTGGTGTTGGCCAATTTGATGGTATTTTGTTGCTGAGCTACCTACTAGCCTATCTTCCTTGGAGTTAG